GAAACTGAGCATTTTCTTTCCAAATTCTTGCGGTTGTATTGTTTATGAAGCTTGCAGTATCTCATAATATTAATACCTCTTTATTACAAACTTCCTTCCTTCCGTCCGAAGGTTCGTGCTTTCACTCTCTCCCGACCGCCTCCTCTGACTCACCAGCTTAAGATATTGTTTATCTACACTCGACCACAAAAATCTCCAGTTTCGCTACACTGTTTAAAATGGAATGGTCGATTTTACGTATCTGTGGTGCAAACTATTGTTCTGGCGTATGCCGTAAAAGTACGTCTCTTCTCAAGAAGGGATTTTACCTGAGCGCCCGCACTTTTCCGCCTCCCCTCCCGTAGATGCATTTTACGGATTTGTTACAGAAAATTTCTTCCTTCGCACAGAATATTACGTACTGTGTCCGTATTTTTGTTTTACTACTTTCTTACGTATTTTTATGGTAGTTTTACAGAAAATCACAAAATTTATTTTTGCTATAAATGGCTACTTTTATTTTCAATAAATTAATAATCACGGATTTACAGAGAACTCACATGAAGTAAAAATTAATATTGAGGTAGATGAAACTCTTGACGTAGTCTTTTTCAGAAAATCCTTTTGGATCGTATCTTGCGTTGATGAAAACACTGTCTGAAAAATAAAAATAAATTTCTTTAGCAAAACATTGATGAGAAATCTCTGTATAAAATACCTTTTGCGCATTGCCAACACAACTTCCATTGACAAGGGACGAGTTTATTCCAAAAGTTCTCACTTCAAATCCAATCTAAAAAAAATAAAAATAATATGCATAAATTTTAGCTGCGCGCGACTTTTTAATAACCATTAAATAAACGTATTTTCTTCTAATAAAAATGATTAATCCAAACTTACATTTTTCAAGTACTCGCGGAGGCCTCCAACTGGAAATTAAGCGGCTTCGCTGCAAAATATTCCATGATTTTAAGAGATGTTGTGCCCGATGCAGCAAAGAGGAGTTCTCTTTGTGGCGAAAGACGCTAAACTGATTGCAGCCGAGGCGCGAGGGTTGAATTTTGTCAGTTGCTGGCGTGGGTGATGACGTTTTCAGCCTCTCTCCCTATTCTCTCCTGAGCTTTCCTCCCCTAACATGCATGCACTCAGGTAAAAGTCCGAAAGCGAGATGTAAAATTACGGATCTGTTACAGAGACTTGCGCTACATCCCAAATACGTAAAATCGCATATCAATTTCATCCGTAAAGGTATTTTACGACGCAAAGTACAGAAAATTATGTCTGTCCGTACTATTTTTACTTCGTTTCTGCCGTGACACGGACGTAATTTTCCGATTTTTTTTGACAGTGTATTAAATTCCTGGCCCTAGGAGTGTGGTTGGCGCGGGGTTATGACGGGCGAGATGGTGTTTTAGCTTACGTAAATAAACATCCATCTAGCTCAGCGACTTAAAACCATCAACAATATAACCCAGCATATACATGCAAGATTTCCATATCCGACTTGAGGAAAATAACGTACCCTTCGCTCTAAACGCGCGAATATTACATTTGTCTACTTTTTTATTCAGGGAGCACGCGACGAATATTATGCCACGTGATAAATTCGGCGTAATTTTTCAGACTCCCGCTTTTTAAAATTCAGCGCCGCATTTTTCGCGGCGCGTGGATATTTACCTTAAAAATCAGCTTTCGCGGGCTCGACTTTTCGCTCCCCGCAATCATAAATATATGAGGGGGGAATATCGTCAGCAGCACAATGGCATCATGTCCTGATTTCCAACACGTCAACTCGGCGCCGGGACTTCATCAAGTTGACTAAATTGTATTATGTATATTTTAAGTCGCAAGAAGAAGAATCTTCTTACATTAAGAAAGGCGGAAGAGACGCGGCGAGAGAAGAGAGAGAGGATTTTGTATCCGACCGTGCAATTTAATTCCAAATAAAGCAGGGGTGGAAAGAGACTGCAAATTTGGTTAAACTGTCTTGCTGCAGAACTTTGTAAATTCAATGACGAATTTATGAAAAACTGCTTTTTTTAATTTAAAATTGGGCAGATAATTAAACAATTTAAAAAGTGGTCACAAATTGAGAATTCTTATTAATTAATTGTATTAATTGATAAATTTAAACCTTTTAAATCACATTTTTTGAGCATAATTCTTATTTGCTGATTTGATTCATGGGATTTTAAATTTTTCAACCTTTATCTCACTAGACAAGGTAATTAAATATAAATTTTAAAACTTTTATAAAAGTAAAATATTTAGCAAAATAAATGTTTTTATATTAAAATAAACATTCTAAATTAAAGACAATCATCATTTTTAAAGTAAATAATAATCTGTCAATCTCCTGATCTGCACCAAAATCACAAGATGCATGAAGCAAAGGCAACCCTCCTGACAGATTCATTTCATCCCTCTCTCGCTGCCGGCGGTTGTGACGGCTTGTGAATTTCAGCATCGCCTTGCATATTTTTCTTGATGGCAGCTTGTTAATAAATGACGTTTTCCTCTCGTGTCTCCGCTGTTTTCCGCGCTCTCTTATTTAAGGCGGATTATCTCTCTCGGCTGACGACAAATTTGAAAAGACGCCTCGACAAAAGAATAATAATTTGCCACCGCTTCCTCCCAACACACAAAAGTGAGGTGCGTCCTTCAAACAAAACTGCTAAATATAAATTTATACAGAAAAGGGTTGGGAGCACTGGAGTGGCGTAAATGCGCTAAAAAGGTCGGGAAATTAAAAGGCGGCGAGTTTTGCATTTAAAATGCCAAACCACGGAGGAAAGTTCATTCGACTTACTTATTTGTATCGGAGCAAATGTCACGCTTGTAATTATCTCGAATTCGTATATTTATTATTCCTTTGCTCTTGGCCTCCCCAGTCGAGATAAATTTATTTGGCGTGCAGCACCGCGGGCCACGCGCCCTCTAATTGAAATTGGTCCGCCTGCGTGGCCAGCTCAGAGCACACCACTCTTGATTGCTTGCATAAAATATCAAGTTAGATGCACACACATGCGGACGTCAAGCGAGGGTTGTTTTCGAATCAATAACGGAACAGAGGGTAGAAATTATAATTCATTTATTCACCTCCCAAAAAATCGTTTCATAAAGATATATTTAATATGAAAATAAAGGTTATTTAACATTTAAATAATAATAATTATTAAATTAAAATACAAGATTTAAAAATAAATTAAAATGTAAATTTGAAATCCTTGCCTCCCACAAATATTTATTGCAATTTATTAATTATCAGATTTAATATTATTTACTTAAAATTTAATACGTATTTAATTTGTAATTTTTATAAATATTTTATTTCTTTGAACAGTGATTAAAATTATATGTAACAACTTTTCATACATTTTTTTTTTCATTATTTTGTATCCAAACCTTTAAAATCAATAATTGATAGTTAATCCTTCATCCAATTCTTCTAAAATTCTCGTTAAATTTGCAACTAAATTATTTATTATCACATTAAATAATTACTTTCTAAATTTATGATAGTTATTCCGTTATTCTTTATTCGGTATCAATATTCTATTGGCTATTGTTTCTTGAGGGCTGCATTGCGTGGGTGCTTATGCTTAAATACAAATTTGTGATCGCCTGCTGTTATTTATGAGCCGCGGGCACTCAAGCTCGGTCTAGCTCTTTATGGCGTGCAAATTATTGATTGCATTTAATAATGTCTCTCGTGCCGCAAGAGTAGTTAAGAGGAAGGAACAGGGTTTGTTTAGATGGAGGGTGGTCGGTCGGTGTATAATAATAAAGCTCAGCCGGTAAGCAACGCGCAGAGAGAAAGAAAAACAACATCAGAAAACGAGATTTCAATCTGGCGTTCGTGAGAATTAGGCATTAAAGCAGAATAAGGACGAGAGATGTACATATAATTTTCCATGTACCTTGAGCAACTAACGTGCGCGGCACGGAAATAAAACGAGGCTGTTGTTTTGGCTTATTTGTGCGGCTCGTTTTTCCTTCCTTTTTTTTCTTAAATAATGTGTTTTGTTGTTGCGCGCTCTCGGCAAGGTAAAGAAAAAAAAACACTTTTTTTATAAAAACACGTGAAATATTGTTTCTGGGGTGTTTTTGTGTGCCCTCGTAAATCAGATTACGTTCGGGGAAAACGTCAGGAAGGCGCCGAATTTGATGATTAAACTGTGAATAATTGCAGGGTGTGCGAGTTCAGTTGTTTTGTGTACGAGAATTTGGAAAACGTTTTCTTACAAAGCAGGCTGTGCACGATTTGAAAAGGCGGTGCGATTTCTCTGAAATCTGATTTTTATCTGGGGGAATTTTGACGTTCATGTAAAATAAAGAAATTAAAACATTCAAGAATTTTTGTTAATGAATAAAAAAATTGAGTTGAATTAGAAATAAAATTAAATTAGAATTAGATTAAAAAGTAGTGAAAAAAATTATTGCAGTTTAATTAAAAAGTGACCTCTAACGTTTTTAGTTTTAGAAGTATCATTATATTTTAACAATTCATCAAGAAATTAAAAAAAAAAAACAGCAAATGTTAGAAAAATATAAAAATATTTTGTTAAATATTTAAAAATATTTTATTTCTGAGGTTGTTCAATTTGAATAAGTTTAAATCATTTTCTGAGTTTTTGTTGGCTTCTACATGAAATAATGCGGATGTTATTCTGATCTTAAGCTGGCTTTCCCTTTCTTGATTTGAGCCGAAACGTGCCTGCTCTCGCGGCGCATGATTAATCGTTGCATGACATTAGGGCTGTCATTAACCGAAACACACTCATTAGGGAGTCATCACGGAGGAAAGAGTTGTTCGAAGGGGTTGAAACATCTGCCGACTCACCTCAAGCTCTGCGATGTGTTTACGTACGCGCTGTTTAATTGCACTTGGTGCTTATCGCTCTGATTGCAGCGAGTTTGGCAATTTGGCTCACTGATGATGATGAGCCCCTCAAAATATTCGCCCCTGAAACTTTCCTCGAAAAGTTTTTTATTTTAATGGTTAAATTTTTGTGTTGCAGGGAAATTGTTTAGGCGAAGGACCACTCGAAGTCAGTCCTTGGACCAAGAGCCAGTTTTCAACCCAACCTCTTGCTTGGCCGCCCATTCTCCGTGAGGGCAGGAGACGCGTGAGTACAATTCTTTTTAATTCAGTAAATTTGATTTTTTTTTCATAAATTACAAAATATTTACCTTTCCTTAGAAAGGGTTAGGCTTTTTCATAATAATGCGGTCATTCAAATTGCTTAAAATATTTAAAATAAAAGTTAGTACTTGAGGAGGATTTGAAGAAGTAAATTATCAAAAATTATATTATCAAAGAAAGAAAATTTCAATATCAAAATGTTTATTTTCAAAAGGGGATTTAATTTTGCAACCATACAGTTTCACCGAAAATCACTAAAATATTCATTGACATAAAATATGTTACGCCTAGAGAGCTTTTATCTGTATATTAAAATCATTTAATTAAAATATTTGTACATTTGCCGAATTCACAGAAAAACAAGACAAGATTTGTATAAATTAAATTCTGAGTATATCAGAAGGTAATGCAGAATCTGATATTATATTTTTATAAAATCCTAAAAGTAGCAGTAATACTTATACTTCATTACTTTTTGTAGTTAACAGATAAAACACATAAAATAGTAATTAAAGAAAAAAAAATAATTTAAAACATAAAAATAAACTTAGTATGAATATAAAATAAAAAATAAACTTTGTCAATTTAACTTTTAAAAATGATATAGGCGTAAAATAAAAAAAAATAGTGCTTATTAAATTTCTTTTATTAACTAGTCTAATTTTATTTTAGAAATTGCCAAGATAAAATAGTAAATTTATGTATGTTTTTTTTTTACTGAGTGTTTCTTGAGAAGTTGAATTCAAATAACTCCGTACGATAAAAAAAAAATGTTAAAAATGCTGCCCTTTTCAGTTTTCATACAAATTTCGACATCATTTAATTTCTTTTTTTATTCGAAGGAAATTTTCAATGCGTGGATTTTTAAGCTTAAATGTTTGTAAAATTAGCGAGATTTAACAATTAAATCTGTAATAATTCAACTTTCAAGCATGGTAGATGATAATATCGGGTGAAAAACTTGGATGCGAAGTTCGGCAACAGCCCATTTGCATTGCGGAAACGTTTAACGTGCTGTTTACTAAATTAATACTGAGCCGCCGCCACACACAACAAACGACCGCGAGAGGCCCAAGTGCAATTATGGTGTCGTTTTTGTCGGCCTCGACAACAATTTATGCGTGTTTGTTTTTATACGCCCGGCCAGCTTGTAATTAATTTGTAAACACAACAAGTATGCATACCAAAGTGGCGCGACTACTGGCTTGGAATAATTATGAGGAAGCTAAAGGGTGTTGTTTAGGAAGGTCCAATTAGATACGGTTTTTATATTTTGTCCAAATTCTTTTCATTATGCATATATGGATATTATTTGAAAGTTTGGAATACAATAATAATTTAATGAAATTCTTTCAAGGAATTCAGGATATTGCCTAAATTATTTATTACGTCATATTAATTGAATTTTTTTGAACAAATGTACTTCCCAACGAAAATGCGTTTTTGACTAATAATTGTCACTTTTATAAAAAGGAAAGATGTTCAAATATTTATAATTTTCAAGACCATGGAAAACTTTTGTTTCTAAAATTGTAAAACGGAATTTCTATTTAAAAGATACTTGGGAAAAAATGGAAAAATTGTCATTTTTATTATTTTGTCATGAAGTTTTTTCTTTTTCCATTTTTGAGTAGAAATAAATGATTTTTTTTCTTTCAGAAAAGACTTTTCTCGCCATCACCTGTCCGCTGTTATCACCGCGAAGCTTCCGTAAAGTCTAATTAGCGCGCGTTGCCGCGTGAAAAAAACGGGCGAAAATTAAAAATGCTCGTCGGAAGATTGATGGGGAGGCGCGGCGGCGGCGAAAAGCAAGCGTCCTTTTTCCTCCTCCTTTTTTCTATTAAAAAACTCGGCGTTGCTAATTTCCGCCGCCGGCAATTGCACAACAAGAAAGAGAGAGAAAGAAAATGACGATTTTTAACGCCGAGCAGTAAAAATACCGAAGCGTTTACTCATTCATTTCCCTCGGCTGCTCCGCCGTGCAGAAAGGGTTGTATGAGAGAGAGAGAGAGTGTGTTTGCACGTAGATAATGAGCAGAAAGAAGAAGCACACAGGAGATGATCTCGGCTGTATACACACAGCAGCAGCAGCGAAATAACCCCTTTCTTCATTCTTTCTTCCTCTCCGGGCGGGCGGAAAAAGTCAAATTCCACCCCGGAATTATATTTACGAGAGGTTTGATCATAAAACACGCCGAATTCCGTCCGTGCCGAATTAAAAAAAAAATAATAAAGAGGGGCTGCCGGAAAAATCCGCTGCTTGAATTTTTAATTTGGACGAGAGAGAGAAAAGAACGCGCTTTAATGGGCGTCATAAGTTATGCTTATTGTTGAGCTTCGCGGACATGCCAGTTGCATACACATTAAGGAGCCTTTTCACTTGTTCTTTTCTTCTTTTAATTGCCAAAAGAGGCGGAATTTAATTTGTAGTGGCTAATTTTCAACGTCTTGAAAATTAAAGGGTTGGACTTAATTAAATATAGGAAGAAATTTCATTAAAGTACAAAATAATTGTAATTGAAATTCAAAGTTTATTGAAGTGCTAAATTAAAATTAAATAAATACCCGAGAGTAATTGACTATTCAATTTTATTAATTTTGAAAATACAACAGAAGAAAAAAATTTAACGGTTTATCAAACTATCAATTTATTACATCAGAAAAAACTGGACTTTATCTTATTGCAAGTTTATTGTAATTAACTGTTAACAATTAAAAATAATATTGGAAGTTTCTAGTTTTAGAATATCTTCCTGAATTTTTTTACCTCCAAAAATTAATAATCTAAATTCTAAAGTATAAAGTAAATAATATGTTTTATTTCAAAACCATATCAACATAGTTCCTTCCGTCTTGGATCGTGGCAAACTTTTGAGCTCACTTTCCAATCGCATGATGCCTGGAATTAGTTCCCAGCAAATTACGATAAATTAGCGCCGAACACACACTTAATGGCGCGAGAGCGGCTGGCGTGTAACTTGCATGCACTTTCTTGTAATTGTTATCAAAGGGGGGAGTGGATGTGCCGCCGCCGCCGGTAAATAATAAAGGCAGTCACGCGAGAGTGAGAAAAGGAAAGAAATATAATGTTTGGAGCTGCCGATCTATTCCTTTTCCATTCCTTTCTGGACTAAAATAATATACGGCAACGCCAAGATTAATTCCTTTTATTATTCTTTTGTGTTTTTCTTTGGGTGTGTCCGCGAGAAAAGGGAGACGGATGGACGGACGCGTTATGTGCATAAACAATGCAAACACCCACAAAAGGAAAAGAAAGGGGCCATTGGGAAATAAAATGTTTTATTATAAGAGGAATTAATGGTGTTTCATATACTATGAAAATAATGTATTATAAGGCATGTCCTGAGTATTATAAATAAGTAAAATAGATAATAAAAATTCCCGACGATTATTACAGTGAAAGTTTAATGTTTCATGAAATTATTTGCGATACTTGGAAGAATAATTTATAATTATTTTTTCTTTTTATTTATATAATTTATAACTTTTTTATTAAACAACGATTCATAATTTGTATAAAAAAATTTATTTTATTTATAAAAACTAAAAATATTAATTATTTTATAAAGTTGAATAAATGAATGTTAAAAAAATTAAATGGAACTGTGATGAGTTACGAAAAAATTTAAAATGGAAATAAAATATAGATTATTTTAAATACATTTTTGTTTAAAAACTGCAAATTTGTAACAAAAACTTTGTTGATTAGATGAAGAAAAAATTATTACTCTCCATTCAATTTTTAATTTTATTTTCACATTAAGACATTATAAAAAAATTGTATTTTTTTTTTGTATGTTTCCCAATAAAAATCTCGTCAACATCGCAGGGTTCGTGTGTTGGAAATGAGTAAAAAATCACCCCCTGAAGAATATATGCAGAGGTGTTCGTTCGTCTCTCTCTGATACTGTGTGTTATTATGACATTTTTCACAAATAATTCTTCTTCTTCTGCTCTCCAGCACAGCGTCGCAGGAAGTTAAAAAACCGTAAAGCTAAGAAAGGACGTGACCTGAGTAAGAAACACGGCAAACACATGCATGAAAAATGGAAGAAGAAGAGTGAGACTCTCTCTCTGTTTCCTTTTTTTTCTCGCAGGGGAGGAAATAAAAAAAAGGAAGGAGTGCACCTGATTCCTGAATGATGAAAATTCATCACCGCAACACGAATACATAGCAGCAATTTAATTGCCTCTGATACCCCCGGCCCCCATTTTTTACCCCTCTGTGCCGGGAATTCTTAATTACGAGACGAGAGAGAATATTCTCAGGGGCTTTTCTTAAAAATTAAACTTGATTGCAGCGTTGTTCGGCACGCCAGGAGTACTTTAATCATTAGCTGGCGCGTAAAAAATCACATTAACCAAGAGAAATTAGAAATCTGCACTCGTTTTGATATTTAGAAATAAATTTAAATTAAATTTCAAATCCTTTTTGGAACTCTTATTTCATTGATTTCCTTCCAAAGCAGTTCCACTTTGCAAATATAGACGCTGCGAATATTCGGTGCGCATGTTTAAATATCGGAATTACATTTTAAAAGTGATCCGGCGTGCTGAGGTGCTGGCGTTTCGCTCTCCGAGTCTCGCTTTCTCTCTGATATTTATATTGTGATACTTATCTCGGTGTATTATGTATCAGGTGCTGTTTGCTCGGTAAGATTGTGTTGACTCGACGAGCACATACAAACTCGAAAGAAAGGTACATATAACGGGGGAGGACACCGCGAGAGTAGCATTGTCGCTTCTTACTGCGTGTCCCTGGGGAAAGGGTGCCAAAAGTGCTGGGAAAAAGCCGAGGGGACACGAGACAAATCAAGAGAATCTCTTTCTCGACCCAAGCACATTCAGCTATTATATCATTAGCACAGAAAACGCAGGGCAAAATTTAATATATAAATTATTTTTATGAAATGAGCAAATTTTTCTTTCAAACTCCAATAAATAACAAGAATTGAATTATAT